TGTGGTGCTGGGGGATTGAACCGCGGTCCCTGATGCTTTGCCAAGCTTGTTCTAAGTAGGTGCCTTAGACCACTGAGCCATCTCTCCAGCCCCAAGATTTTTTTTTAAAAAGCACAGTAGCCCATACCTGTGATTACGGCTATGAAGAAAGCTGAAGCAGCTGGATCACAAGTTTGAGGCCAGCCTGGGCAATTTAGCAAGACCCTATCTCAAAGCAGTGTACATGCCACATACCAATCTGCTATGAAGATCAACTTGAAACTGGACATGGTGGTGCATATCTATAACTTCAGGGTTCAGGCTGAGGCAGGAGGGTGGCCATGTGTTCAAGGCCAGCGTGGACTACAAAGTGAGACCCTGTCTCAAAAACAAAGGACAGGGGGCCTGGCCCTAGCTCAGTTCTTTAAGTGGCTGCTTCCACAAAGCTGTCAGCCTCAGGTAGTTGTAGTTCGATCCCCACAACCCTGCAGCCAGCCAAAAGTGCCCTGAAGGCATTCGAGGAGCAAAAAAAAAAAAAACAAAGGACAGATTTTTTTTTTTTAATGGTACTAGGAACCAAACTCTAAACCTTGCACTTACCAGGCAGTTGCTTGTGCCGCTGACCTATCGAAAGGCCACAACACACTGATCTGGTTGGCCAGGCTAGCATGGGTCTGCAAACAACAGCTGCTTTCCTTTCACACCCTTACTGGAGACTCTCCGAGCACATGGGCCTGGGGAGCCACCGGGCAAACAGTAGCTTCAGCCGAGTGGGGCATCAGGGGCCTCCTGCTGTGTGGCATCAGAGGGAAGCCACTGGGGCAGCTGCTGGGTACAGGCCAGCTCAGGGCAAGCAGGTATGAATTATGTAGGGGTCAGGAAGGGTGCAGGCTGGGCTGGTGGGGCCATACACATCCCCCTCAGCTAGAAATCTGAGGCAAGAGCAAGACACCAGTCTGGGTTTCCTGAAACCCCAGAACCTCAGAATGAAAGTGGTGAGCTCTGCATATGGGAGAAGCTCATATATTTGCATCTGAATGTACCTCAGCATCTCTGCTAGAGAGTAGGCAGGTGGTTCACAATGGGCCAGGCTTCCAGATGGTAATGCCGGGCCATCCTGGGCCCGGAAGCCCTGAGCAGGGGCCCAGGCCATCCACGCAGGGGTCAGTCGCCAGAGCCTTCCCTTCCGCCTGCAGGCTGCTGATACGCAGGAGGAAATCCTGGCAGGTTCCTGTGGGGGTGAGTGGGGGCAGCTTTTAAAGCGACTGCCCGCCCCGTCCTGCCCGCCCCGTCCTGCGCCTGGATCTCGGAGTTCACTCCTCAGTGGCGCTTCTGTCCTGGACAGCAGGCGGCCAGCCATGGCAGAGCCCAGGGGCCGCCTCCTGCTCTGCCTCCTAGCCTTCTGGCTGTCAGGCTCCAGCTTCATCTGGGGACAGAAGGTGAGTGAGCCTGCACTGGAGGGTGGGAGTGGGAAGGGACTGAACGAAGGCAGATGGGGTGTGGGCCTGGGGGTCCAAGGAACCCCCAGCGCCTACCTGAGCTTGCAGACCCAGGTCACGAGGCCAGGGTGGCCTCGCGCAAGCTGAAGATTGTCATTGAGGTGCAGGTAGGGGTGAGCCTGCCACCTCTAGCCATGCTTAGCTCAGCCAGCCATGTAGTATGAGCAGCTGTTCCTGGCTCCCTAGTCCCGTGAGGGAGGGACACAGAACCAGGTCTGTCTGCCTGGCCTCATCGGGAGGTCCAGGAACACTCAAGTGGGCTCTGGCTACATCTAGGGAGGGGACGGGTCCACCTTCAATGCCGCTGGGTACAGATAGCTAGGGATGAAAATTTCCCGCCTCCATGCTGCGGCTGACCAGGCTAGGGCCACACTTGCATCCTCACAGCCGTGGGGCAGTCTTGTTCTTCCAGTGAGGCAGCTGAGTCCTGCCAAGGACGTGGGGCCACCCATTCCCACCCATGCGCCTGCCCCAGGCCTTCTGCTTTGGGCCCCCACACGGGCAGGTGCTCTGATGCAGGAGCCAGCATTCAGCTCCCCTAGGTAGGGACCTAGCCCTTGCTCCAGCTTTGGGAGGACCCTTGCACCCCAGTGTGGAGACAGAATATCCTCGTGGGGTGCTGCCCCTGAGCAAGGTCCTGTGAGATGGTGATTGAGACTGGGAGTGGTGGCACACGCCAGTAATCCCAGCACCTGAGAGGCTGTAAACAGGATAATCACTGTAAGTCCGATCTATGCAGTGAGACCCTGTACTCCCTGAACACCCTGTCCTAAAAAAAAAAAAAAAGTTAATTGTCATACCTGAGTTCAATCCCTGGTACAAAAAAAAATAAATTGTCCTAAACAGACTAATAGCCGAACTACTAGCAGAAAAGAAAAATAAATAAATTATATATATATATATATATATATATATATATATATATATATATGATCACATCACCACATCACATGAGACAGGCCAGGGATATAGCTTAGCAGCATAAGCGCCTGCCTGGTAGAGTCAAGGTCCTGAGTTTAATCCCCAGTAGCACCAAAGGAAAAAAAAAAAAGACAATTACACTAAATCAAGGTTCACTTTTAGATACAGTGGCCATATTGGATTATAATAACATTTTGTCTTTTTTGTATTGCCTTTTTGCTCCTTATATATTATATTACTTATACAAGAAAAACCAAAGAAAAAGAAAAAAAAGGAATTGCTTAATTTACCGCCCCACAAAAAGAAAGAAAAACCATGTAGGGGCCGGGGAGATGGCTTAGTAGAATAAGCGCTTCCCTGACAAGCACAAGGGCTGGAGTTCAATCCCTGGTTCTGAGGGGGAAAAAAAAATTAATTAAAAAAATAAAATAAAAATTATGGTCTCAAGTTCCACCCATTTTCCCACAAAGGACTCAAGTCTGTCCTCCTTGTGGCACGGTGGTAGTCCGTTCCGTATAAATACACACTTCCTTAGCTGTGCATCCACTGATGGGCATCTAAGCTGCTTCTGAGATGTCACTATTATGAGCTGTTCTGTAAATGGGTGGATAGGGATCAGCGTAATATGATGTCTGTAACTCATTCAGGAAGATGCCTAAAAGGGACTATCTGGGTTGAATGGAATTTCTAGTTTTAGGTTTTTTTCTTTTCTAGCTTTAGGTTTTGAGTAATGTCCATAGTGTCTGTACGAGTTTACACTCCCACAAGCTAAGGAGAACACCCGCTGCACCATAGTCTAGCAAAGGAGACTGAATCAGTCAGGTGTTTGAGTCTTTTCCTTTTTTTTTTTTTTTTTTTTTTTTTGCAGAACCGGGGAATGAACTCAGGCCCTTGAGCTTGCCAGGCAAGCGTTTATTCTACTGAGCCATCTCCCCAGCCCCGAGTCTTTTCCTTTTAAGGGTGTTCAGGGTTTTACTACTAGATCAGACTCATAGTGATCTGCCTGTTTACAGCCTCCAAGACCTGGGATTACAGGTGTGTGCCACCACGCCCAGTCTCAATTGCTGTCTCAGTGCAGCAGGCCCCAGGGTCGAACCCTCGGCTCCTGTGCCTGCTTGCAGGTGCTTTATTCCACTGAGCTATTTGGCAGGCCCTGAGTCTTTTCCTTGTGAGAGACCTATAGCTCCCACACCTCTATGTCCATTCTGGGGCTGGGGCTCCACCTCCCAAGGCCAGGGAAAAGAAGGCCTGGGGGCCCTTGTGGATGATAGGGGTGTAGCAATGCTGGCTTTATCTCACCTTCAGCCTCTCCTCAGCCCTCCTGGTACCCAGGGTAGCACATGAACCTTGGGGACTGTTAGGACCAGTGCCTCCAAGGGTTTGAAAGAACATCCCCTGGGTCACAGAGCAGAGGCAGGGCAAGCTTCCTGTGCAGGGTCTTGGCAGCTGTCCACCCCAAGCCTCCTATCCAGATCCTACTTGTGCTGGACACATGCCTGTGGTCTTCATCTAGGTTCACAGAGAGAGGGGCTGTGGCTAGGACCCGGCCCTGGCCTTTCCTGCTTTGACCCAGAGTAAGGGAAGCGGTTTGAGGTGCCCTTCCTCTTGGAGGGGAGTCTCATTCTGGGCTGTCAGCCCAGGAAGTCTTTAGAGGCCTGGTCCCAGTTAGGGACATTTCTTCTACCTTCTCCTCAACACACTATTTTGTGTCTCCTCAGCGTTCCCTGCAGAATGTCTGTGGGAAACAGGTATTGTAAACTCAGCTCTGAACTGGGGGTGGGAGGGTGGGGGGAGACGCATGGTGGCTCAGGCTGGGAAGGGTCCTGAGGTGCCCAGGAAGAAGGGGATCTGATTCAGACCTTGGGCTGTGCTCCAGCCGTGCTCCACCTGGCAACACCAACAGGACTGCGGGCTCCGGCCATTGCCGCTGCTGCCCGGTGACTGGGTGGACAGGGCCTGAGCGCCAGCCGTGGGTGTGGCCCCTAGAGAGCTGGCTTATCCATCCATCACAGCTTCACACATGCTGACCGAGCTCCTGCTTCCTGCCTGGCCCCTGGCCCCAAAAGACCAGTGCTGTCCTCTCCATCCTGAGCCAGGCCTCACCAGGCCTGACAAGAGTCTCCTCTAGTGCTGGTCCCCAGACAAAGCAGCCTGCCCCTCCACCCCAGGTGGCTTTGAGGGAACCCACGCAGACTGCCCCGAGCCTGCAGCTGCTTGACCCTCTAGTTACTCAACTCCCTTGTAGCCTGCTGGCTCACCAAAGATGAGACCACACACAAAAAAAAGATGAGACCACAATAATCCAGCCCCGCAGCCAGCCTCTAAGGCTGCTCTCAGCAACTTCCCTCTTGTAGACCACAGAAGCACGGGCGGAAAAGGCCAAATCACAGCCATCCGCGGAGAGGCCCTGGCCCATGCTCACAGAGGAGCGTGCTGGGGAAACTGTTTTTCTTTTTTGCTTGCTTTGAGGAGCCACACATCTGTAATTTGTTCCAAGAAGGATATTCTGGGCTCACTCCTTTTGGACCACAGCATGCTCAGCATTTTCAAGACGGGTACATCTCAGCCTGTCTAAGCCATGTTCCAGCCCTCAACTGCCCCACCCACCAAAACACACCATTCTTCTGCCCCCTACTCTCACAGCCAGGCATTTAGGTTCTCGCGGGAGCCCTATTAGGTCTTCCAAAAGTGGTGGCAAGCCAGTTAATGGGCCTGCAGGACCAGGCAAGACCAAGCCACGTTTCCCACCCCCCAAACTCATCCTTGCTGTCCCTGCCTCGGCTCCTGCAGAGGACGAGGGAACTGTTTTCACCTGCCCCATCTCACCCTGCTCCCGTGGTTATAGTTTCAAGCACAAACCAAGTTCTGGGCCTGCCCAGATGTATGAGGGCACTTCCAGCCTGGCCACCAGCCCTTGCCAGCTGCCCCCCAGACCACCGTCTGTTACGCATGGGCACATGCTCCTCTGCCCCTGACTGGCTCTCGTGCAGCCTTGAGGTCCTGAGTCATTGTCACCTGCTCCAAGACGCTGCCCAGTCTTCCCAGTCCCTTTAGCAGCTGGTGCTGCTGTTGTCCTGTGGGCCCTGGGTCCCTGCCTGTCAGGGCTCAGTGCAGACATAGGTCAGACCCGCTGCATACTACTATCCTCACACCAGCCCACCTCTTGGGTTTGCAGCTCTTTGTCTCCGGACTGAGTGGAGAGGCATTATGCTGGGAGTGTAAATTCCAGTCCCTGATTCCTAACCCTGCTCTGGAGTGACTTTGGGCAAAGGCCACCAGCCTAGGCTACAGTTTCTTCACCTGAAGTGGGCTGAGGTACAACAACATAGAAAAGGTTTTCCTTCTGTCAGAAGGCGTAGACTCAGGGTTCTGGGCTGTGGACACCAGGCTGTGCTGTGGCATTAACTGCCCGACAAGGACGTGTTTCAGGGCTGGAAATTCCTCATCTTTGCATTCCTCTGAGCAGGTGGGCACCTGAGGCCTGGGAAGGTGCAAGGCCTGCCTCAGGGCAGAGGTGAGTCTGAACGTGGGCCTGGGCCCCTCACCCATGTCCCACCTGTGATGCAGGTGCGGTCCAAGCACTGCGATGTGAAGACCAAGTTCATCACTCACACACCCTGTACCTCGTGCGCTGTCAAGAAGTGGATGTGTCCTTCAGGCTGGCTTCTTCAGCGTTTCCCAGAGAAGAAATCCCAGAACTGCCGGTATGGACCCCCACCCATCCTAGCCTGCTTCCAAAAACATCTAGTGTGGTGGCAGGGACAGGCCCTCAGGATGGGGGAAAGGACTCGCCCACAAATTTCTGTGTCCTCCAGGGAGGTAAGGAGCAGACATTGTTTTCTGAGCATCTATTATGTGCCAGGCCCTGTGCTCAGCTCTAGGCCAGGGAGAAAGTAGAGGTGGTGTGAGAGCCAGGAACCAGGGTTGGGAAGTGGAGTGGGGCTTGCAGGTGATTGCTGTTTTCCTCTCTGTACCCTCTGTCACCAGCTACGAGGTGCACCTAGGGGACTCGCTGTTGTCCATGAGTGGCTGCAGCATGGAGTGCTGGAAGGATGTGGTGCAGAAGGCCTGTTGCCCTGGCTACTGGGGCTCCCAGTGCTATGGTACGAGGGGTCTGCCTGGTTCTGCCCACACCTGCCCTGAGTCAGCTCTGGGTTCCCACCTATAGGAGCTTCCTGTGTCCTTCCACCTTGTTCATTCAAAGACCACTTTTTAAAAGCCTGCCTGGCTCAGCCTTGCAGCCCTGGGTGCCCGGACTGGGGTAGGGGGAGGGCTGCTGGGGCAGGGGCAAATGGAGAGTTTGAGGCCAGAGCTGAGTTCTTGGGATCCACAGAGTGCCCCGGGGGTGCTGAGGCCCCATGCAATGGCCATGGGACCTGCTTGGATGGCATGGCTGGGAACGGGACCTGTGTGTGCCAGGTAAGGCCCGGGCAAGGTTGGGGTAGGGGCGCTTGGAGAGGCAACACTGACTTGGTGTATCCCTCAGGAGAACTTCAGTGGCTCAGCCTGCCAGGAATGCCGAGACCCCCGCCGGTTTGGAGCCAACTGCCAGATGGGTGAGGCTGCCAGTCTACCCCTGCCTCCCCTGCCCCCAACATCAGCCCACACTTCCCCTTCAGGGAAGAGGCCTGGCTTCCTTAAGCCCACACTCCGGGCCTTGCTATTCTTAGAGGCCCCCTTCAGGAAGCTCTCCTGGAATCCCAGGCTGGGTCCAGTGCCTCCTCAGCACCCTCTCCTGCAGTCCTGCAGCACAGCTCTGAACTCTCGGGTTGTACCTGTAGAACCGAGTTCTCCATGGGGGTGGGGGGGCAGGAAGCCCACATCCCTGCGTGTGGCTTGGTGCAGCTGGAGTCTCACCTACCCCTGTGCCCCTTCCAGAGTGCAGTTGTGTGCATGGCGTGTGCAGCAGTGGACCACGGGGGGATGGAAGCTGCCTGTGCTTTGCTGGGTACACTGGACCCCGCTGCAACCAAGGTGAGCACACAGCTGGGGCAGCCTGGGACAGCGGGTTCTCTGGCCAGGAAGGGGTTGGGGGTGGGGGATGGGGTGACTGCAGAAGGACAGGCCTGTGCTCAGCCTCACAGGGACAGGGCTGTCTTCTGGGACTGCCACTGTCTGAAGACTCAGAGAAGGTGGTGCCCTGCTCAGAACTGCACAGTTAAGGGGGCAGATGATCATGGCTGCTACGCCGCATCTCAGCCCCAGACTCTCGCAATGTTGTTTTCTCCCTCCGTAGAGCTGCCTGCCTGCCAGGCCCTGAAATGTCCCCCAAACTCTCAGTGCTCCCCAGAGGCTCTTGCCTGTAGGTGCCTGCCTGGCTACACCCTGCAGGACAGCAGATGCCTAGGTGAGCCTATAACCCAGCTCATGGGGGGACAGGGAAGGCACCCTTAAACCTCAGCCAATGTGATCCGGGTGATTATGGAGGGATAAGGGTCCAGTCCTCAAGGCCTAGGTCACCCCATGTGGTGGAAGCTGTGAAGGAGATGGGGCCCCTGGGTGCTCCACTCACGTGAGCGCTCTCTGCCCTGGCAGCTCCTGACCCCTGCCAGTCGTCACCCTGTTCCCCGATCGCCCGCTGCTCAGTGAGTCATGAGGGACAGGCTGAGTGTCACTGCCCTGAGAACTATCATGGTGATGGGAAGGTGTGTCTGCCCTGGGACCCATGCACCACCAACTTTGGTGGCTGCCCCCGCAACTCTACCACGTGCTTGTACCAGAGGCCAGGCAAGGTGAGCCAGGGCCCTGGAGGAGAGGGTGCCCCACAGCCTTCCCACCCACTCCAGTTGTGGGACCCTGGGCAAGGAACAGGCCCTTGGAGAGCCACAGCCACCCTGTTTGATGGGGAGAGATGGGAGAGGAGGACAGTCCCACTCTGGGAGGGCAGTTATGGGGGAATGGGATGCATGCCAATAGTTCTCCCAGATTGTCACAGATGGGGGCAATGTCCCCTCCTGCCCCTGCAATTTGTTTTGTTTTGTTTTTTCTTTTTGTTATTTTTTTTCCATAATTTTATTGAGAAATAAATAGCAATGAGACAGTTTCAAATCAAATTGGTAGGACAGTTTCAATAATTAACACGTTGCATACTGCCTTCCTAGTGGTTATTTGTTGTACAAGATGCAGACATGATATCCTATTTACAAACACTATTAGGTCAAATCCCTCTATTCCTTGAATTAAGAGAATGTAGCTATATATCTATCCTAACCATTTTGAATACACAGATACAAAATGGTCATTCATCTATATCCCCTTTTTTGTTTAGTTCCATCATTTATATATATATATATATATATATATATATATATATATATATATTTTTTTTTTTTTTTTTTTTTTTTTAAACTGGGGATTGAACTCATGCCCTTGTGCTTGCCAGAGAAGTGCTTATTGCACTGAGCCATCTCCCCGGCCCCCCATCATTTAAATATTATAGGTGTGTGAACTCAACAAAATATTCCAAAATAATCCAGTAGTCCATAATAGTATTGGGTCTTCCACTTGACTGGCAGTGTCAAAAGTTGTTGACCCGAGTCCCCTATACCCCTGAAATTTGTACAGGCTATTTGCTCGTGTCAACCAGGCCTGGTCAGTATCAACCGCAATGCCTCCGCGGGCTGCATTGCCTACTGCTTCTCCCACTCCTGCGACAAGTCAGCCACTTGCCAAGTGACTCCCGAAGGGAGGACCAGGTGGGCAGAGGAAGCTCAGGGGACACATGGGAGTGGAGCAGAGAGGATGGGTTGGGCAACATACACACTTGGTCCAGGGGCCTTGCAGGGATAGGTGGGTAAGGGTCAGGAGAGGGGACTGGCCCCATGCCTGCGCTGACCCATCGTTCTGGGGCTGCCAGGTGTCTGTGCAAGAAGGGTGAGGTAGGGGATGGGCGTGCCTGCTACGGACACCTGCTTCATGAAGTGCAGAAGGCCAATGAGATAGGCACGCTGTTCCAGCGGCTGAGGACTGCCATCACCATGCTGGGTGAGAGGGGCTCCAGCCTGCCCATGACCTTGCGCTAAGGAGGGTGGGCTGTACCCTGCAGAGATTCCAGTTTCTCTGCCTGAGAGCTTAGCTGCAAAGGATGAGCCATTGAAGGGTGCATGTGGAATGGGGATCTGGGCCCAGCCCCGATGCCACTTTCCTCCACCTGTACCCAATGCCCCAGCCTAGGATGGATGCCTGAGATCTCCCCAGACCCACTCCCTTCCCCCCAGGCTCTCCCAAGTCTGTTCTAACACTCTTTCCCCCTGCCACCCAGAGCAGGGCTGCCCGGAGATCCTCACCACCTCAGGCCCGTTCACCGTCCTGGTGTCCTCTACCTCCACATCCTCCAGCTCCTCCCAGAGCATGAACGTGAGCCCCTTCCCACCTCCCCCGACAGGACCCCAAGAGAGTCTCTCCTCCTGACTGGAGGGCCTGAGCCAGGGAGGTCCTTGTCCCCATTGTGCTGAGGCGGGCAGTGCTGGGGCGGGCGGTGCTGGGGCAGGTGGGGCAGGCCCCGGCTCATGCAGCCCTCTGTGCCTGTGGTGGGCAGGTGTCACTCTTCCAGCAGCTCTGCAGACAGCATATCATTGCGGGCCAGCACATCCTGGAGGACGGGGGGACCCCGAGGACATACACATGGTGGACACTGGCCGGCCAGGAGATAACTGTCACCTTCAGCCGCTTGGTAAGGCGGGGCCTGCAGCCTGGGAAATGTAGGCATCACAGGTAGAGGATGCAACCCAGGCAAAGGGCAATGGTGGGAAGGAAATGTGGCACAGGGACCTGGCCTGTGGGGTCTGGAGTGATGGGCTGTTGTGTCTTCTCAGAGGTACACCTACAAGTACAAGGACCAGCCCCAGCAGACGTTCATAGTTCAGAAGGCCAACAACATCGCTTCCAATGGTGTCTTCCACGTGGTCACTTCCCTGAGGTGGCAGCTCCCACCTGCGCTCCCAGGGGACCCCAAGGTAAGCAGCGCATGTCTCTCCCCTCCCTACCCTGCCCTGCTGGCTGAGCTCTGAGGCCTGCAGCAACCTCACTCTGTCCCTGGAGCTCTCACAAGTGTCCCTTCCAACAGCAAACTGTTGCCCAGATCCTCGCCTCTAACGAGGTCTTCAGCCGGTTTGAAACCATTCTGGAGGTGAGCTGGCAGTGGGGTCCCTCCCATCAGGACTTCCAGGGCTAGGAGTCCTCATTGCCCTCTTCTGCCTCATGGTGCTCGGGTTCGGAGATAGCCTGGTCTTTGCCCACCTCCCATCGAGCGCCTGCTCTCCACAGCCCTGAGGTTCTGTGGTAGCATGGACCCACTGTCACCATCTTCCACTTGGTGGGAATTCCCAGTGGGCTGAAGGTGGCAGGACTCAATGGGCCTTGAGGCAGAGGCTGACCATGGGGTCCCCCGGCCTCCCCCTCACTGCTGCAGAACTGTGGGCTGCCCTCCATCCTGGATGGGCCTGGGCCCTTCACAGTCTTTGCTCCAAGCAACGAGGCTGTGGACAGCCTGCGAGACGGCCGTCTGATCTACCTCTTCACAGGAGTAAGCTCAGCATGAAGGAGGGCCTGCAGGGCTGGGGTGCCACAGCCTCTGCCAGCCCCAACAGGCCCTCCAGGAGCCAAATGCCCTTTCCCCTGCAGGGTCTCTCCAAGCTGCAGGAGCTGGTGAGGTACCACATCTACAGCCGTGGCCAGGTGAGAGGTGCTACTCCGGGAGGCCCTGACCCATGTTCCTGGGGCTGCCGTGGCTCTGGCTTCCCAGGCCCCTTCTCCTCCTCCCTCTCCCCTCCCATCTGGACACTGCTGCAGAGAGGAAATCCTGGGACCCAGGGGTGCTCTGTGTCACCTGGGCAAGGCGTGGCCAGTGCCCAGTCTTAGGGCACCCTTTCTTCAATCAGCTGACTGTTGACAAGCTCATTTCCAAGGGGCGGGTCCTCACCATGGCAAACCAGGCCCTGGCTGTGAATATCTCAGATGAGGTGAGATTCAAAGCCTCTAAAATAAAGGGGCCAATTGGGGGGCTGCAGATACCAGCTTGTCACCCAGCCTTTCTGACCCATCCTGTGGGGATCAGGACACAGTGTTGGCCCCCGGCAATGCAGGCACACATCAGCTCTCTCCTGGGGCCCATGGGTGGGAAGAGCTGAGTACGTGCAGGGATCCTCCCCACAGCCCAGGGAGGCCAGCCAAGGCCCACCAGCCTGGGGTGGCACAAGGGGTCTGTGCTGCAGGGACGCATCCTGCTGGGACCCGAGAGCACCCCTCTGCGGCGGGTGGACGTGCTGGCAGCCAACGGTGTCATCCACATGCTGGAGGGCATCCTGCTGCCCCCCACCATCCTGCCCATCCTGCCCAAGCACTGTGGCGAGAAGCAGCACAAGATTGTGACGGTGAGCCCCACAGCCCCTACGACCCTCCAAGCAGGGATCATCTTCTGAGGCCGAGGTGCAGTCTGAGCCCACATCCTTTTACCATGACAAGACCAGGACTGGGCTGTTCACAGAGAAGGAGGTGATTTTGACTCACAGTTCTGAAAGGCCCAGAGTGGCCCTGGCATCTGCTGAGAGTCTTATACACTACAGGGCCAGGGAGGGCCTAGCGGGGTGCCAGCCTCACCACAACTGGCTCTTGTGCAACTTGTGCCCTCTTGGGCCTCTATCAGTCCCTGTGTCAGGAAAACCCCCAGGAGACTGTCATTGCCTCCTCTCCAAACTGCTAATCTGGGCTGGGGAGATAGTTCAGTAGAATAAGTGCTTGCCTAGCAAGTGCAAGGACCTGAGTTCAATCCTCAGTTCTGCAAAAACAAACAAACAAACAAACAAACAAAAAACGAAACAACAACAACAAAACAAACAACAAACTGCTAATCTGAGGACCATGCACAGCATGAGTTCTAGCAGGTACCAAGTCGGTGGGTAGGTGACGGTGACACTGAGACCCAGGTGCCCACCCCCAGGGCCTGCTCAGTGCCGGAGGCCTGGCAGTCCCCTCACCACCCCGCTTCCCACCCCTCCATCCCTCCCCTGCCTCCTTGCTCCTTTTCCTTTTCACCTTCCTCCTTCCCTCAGCTTGGGACCCCTGCCTAGATGTCCATGGCTGACCCCGTACCCTCCTTCTTCCCCTGCCTGCCCTGTCCAGGGCTCCTGTGTGGACTGTCATGTCCTGAACACCAGCGTGTGCCCCCCAAACAGTGTGAAGCTGGTGAGTATCCCTCAGCCCAGCCTCCAGGGCCCCCTGACTCCCCACTGCTGGCTGTGCCCCAGCTCACAGTGGGGAGCAGGGAATGGGTGGCCAGGCCACAGGCCAGATTTGCAAGCCTGTGCTTCCCAGAGGCTCTGAGGTGAGTGTCAGAGCCAGGGCTGCCTCACAGGAGGGCTGGCCCAAGGCCTCACTCCTGACGGGCTCCGCATGGCCTGCCCCAGGACATCTTCCCCAAGGAGTGCATCTACACCCCCAACTCTGTCGGGGTCAACCTGTTGAAGAAGGGCTGTGCATACTACTGCAACCAGACCATCACGGTGAGCCCAGGGGAGCGTGTTTGTGTCCCAGGGAGCCAGGGGCGCACGTCTTTCCTGGGGCCGCTGGGCAGGGCCGGGTAGGCTGCCCTCCTGAGAGCCAGACTGCACGTCAGAGGCAAAAAAAGGCACCATTGAGGGACTGCATCTACCCCCTTGCTCAGAATCAGACCTGGACCTACGCATACTCTGTCTCTTACAGAAATTTGGCTGTTGCAAAGGGTTTTTTGGGCCTGACTGTGCACAGTGTCCTGGGGGGTTCTCCAACCCCTGCTATGGCAAAGGCAATGTGAGTCCCCCTCCCCTTCTGGGCTGGCAGTGACTGGCTGTGGGTCAGGGCCAAGCCTGCCTCTCTCTGGTTTCGGGTTCTTCACATGTAGGCAATGCCAGTTGGGTCAAATTATTTCCATTATTTGAATTAGAAATAATCAAGCTGGTAGATTTTGTGTGTGTGTGTGTGTGTGTGTGTGTGTGTGTGTGTGCGCGCGGGGCTGGCTGGCGTGTGGTGCTGGGGGATTGAACCGCAGACCCTGTGCTTCGCTAAGCTTGTTCTAAGTAGGTGCTTTAGACCACTGAGCCATCTCACCAGCCCCAAGCTGGTAGATTGTTGTGTCTGTTTTCTAAGAGGCTACTGGGCAGCAGTGTTATGTATTCTTACTACTTTCTGACATCAGGGCCACTGTAGCATTAAGCGATGGGAGAAGTTAGTGCAGGCTAGCAGGAGTTAGGTGTCCCTAGGGAGTGCAGGGGCCAGGCACTGTTCAGGGGCTTGTTACTTAAGGGCCGCATGGGTGATTCTGAAGGTCGAGGTCCTGGCAAGCAGGAGCTCAGAGCCCCCAGGGGAGGGAGAGAGGGGACACTGTGGGACAGGATGGGGCGAGTCCCTTTCCCAGCTGACCCTGTATCCTGCCCACTTCCCAGTGCAGTGATGGGATCCAGGGCAGTGGGGCCTGCCACTGCTTCCCAGACTTCAAGGGCATTGCCTGCCATATCTGCTCCAACCCAAACAAGCATGGAGACCAGTGTCAGGAGGGTGAGTGCTCCTGCCCCAGCCCACCTCCCACACTTAGACAGAGGGCCCTGGGGCTCCCAAGAATGGAACAGAAGTACACGTTGTTTCCTTCATCTGTGTCAGCAAGAGAACTATAATTTAATCTAAAGCAAGTAGGATTTAGGTCAGACACATTGGAGAACTTCCCAAATAGGGGTATTAGGAGGACAGCAGCTAGCACAGGGCAATGAAGGCGAGAATGCCCCCCTTCACACTTCATCTGCTTGTCCACCAAGTCTGATTTTGTGACCCTGAAGTCAAATTTCTGCTGCTGCCCCATGCCCCAGCCCTCCACCTCCACCCTGCTAACCCAGTCTTGGCTCCCAATCAGCACTGCCTCCTGCCTCACTTGCTGTGCTCCCACCTTCTCTGTGTAGACTGTGGCTGTGTTCATGGACTGTGTGACAACCGCCCGGGCAGTGGGGGTGTGTGTCAGCAGGGCACATGTGCCCCTGGCTTCAGAGGCCGCTTCTGCAACGAGACTGTGAGGGACTGTGGCTCTGCGGGGCTGGCTCAGCTCTGCCACGTTCATGCCCGCTGCATCAGCCAGGATGGCGTCTCCAGGTGAGGGCTTGCTCTTCCTCTCAGTCCCATCAGCAACATCGTGCGTGGGTTTGCCCAGCATCCTGCATCCCTCTTCCACCCACCCTAGGTGTGTCTGCCTCGATGGCTTCGAGGGAGATGGCTCCTCCTGCACACGCCGCAACCCATGCTCACAGCCAGACCGCGGTGGCTGCTCAGAGAATGTCAGTTCCCTCAGCCCTTCCCTGAAGCTCCAAATCTGGGGCAGGAGGGGGCTCCCTGGGACCCTGCCCTTGGCCCTGCATCCCTGAGTCTTTTATCCATGGCTGTCACAGGCTGAGTGTGTCCCTGGGGACCAGGGGACCCACAGCTGCACATGCCACAAAGGCTGGAGTGGGGACGGCCGGGTCTGTGTGGCCATTGATGAATGTGGGCTGGACACTCACGGAGGCTGCCACGCCAACGCTACCTGCAGCTATGTGGGCCCCGGGCAGGTGAGTGACAGCAGAATGCAGGGGCCTCTATACCAGGGGACTCTCCCTCTCTACTCACTCACATCCACTCCAAGCTCAATCGCAGGGTCTGGAAGCTCAGGTACTGGCACCGGCTGTGCACTCTGGGATTGGGTTCTTGGGCTCTCGTGTTGTCAGGTTCCTGGCAGTACTTGCTCTTGACGCAAGGAGTGTGATAGGGACCAAAGTAGGAAGAGACCCATCCCCCTGGACCTGGAAATCTAGCTCTAGAACTCTGCAGCCTCAGATGCTAGTCACGGTTTCTTAGAACCTGGAGCCTTCTGCCTGAGGCATTATAGGCCTCAGGAACATGAATTCTGGCAGATGGCTGAGAATTTCCACTGAGCCAGTTATGAGGGCAGGCCTGGCTGTTTCAGAGTCAGCCTCCACATGGCTCAGGCTGGTGTGAGGACGCAAAGGGCTCAGGGTCCTCCCAGCTGCACAGTAGCTTTGGGACCCTAGCCCGTGGGGTCCTGGCAAGAACTTGTGTGGGCCTGAGGCCTGGAGTTCTGACCCTCATCAGGAGTCTTAAAATTCATAACTGTGGTTCTGAATGGAAAGGTTGGGATTTGCAAATGTGTGGACAAGCCTAAGGGCACTGCCACCTGGTGGGAGGGGCTAAAGAGCTACACAGGGTGGCAGGGGTGGAAATGGAGCCCACACTGCCGTCCCGGGGCTGGCCTCAAAGGCTTCTGCCTACTGGCCATGAGCCACTGACCACAGGGCCCTGACAGGGCTCCACATGCAGTGGCAGCAAGGCGCCACCAGTGCTTCCTCCCAGTGCCTTATTTCCTCAGCTTCACGAGAGAGCCAGGGTTGTCTGGAACTCAGATCTCCGGGTCAGGGTGGGAGAAGCTCCCGCAGGGCCTGGGCCAGGCTCTGAGGGGAGCAGTCCCTGGTGAGAGGCTGGGAGTAGATGAGGAAAGGGGTGGGTGCTCCTGGTGAGACAAAGCCCTCTGCTCCCTGACCTCCCAGAGCCGGTGCGTCTGCAAGCTGGGCTTCGCCGGGGATGGCTATGAGTGCAGTCCCATTGACCCTTGCCGGGCAGGCAACGGTGGCTGCCATGACCTGGTGAGAGGGGCCGAGGCTCTGAACTCTGGGCAGGCCTCAGGGTTGGCCTGGCTGCAGGGCTGTCTCTGGGTGTCTCCATCCCCTGACAACTTTGAGATCTTTCTAAGCCCCATATCCTATCATGTTACCCCCTTACCCTGTCACAGGATAAAATCTTCATACTGCCCTAGAAAGACTGCAGGCCCTGCAGGAGCCTGTCTTGCCTCTGCCTCCTCTCTCTGCTGCACCTGTCCCCATTTCCTGTTCCTCTGGCTGCTTCAAGCTCCATGCTGGCCCCAACCCCACTCTCACACCACAGTGCTTCCCTTCTCCATGCTGCCTGGTTTGCCCCTGCTCCCAGCTCAGGCTCCTGAGGGTACAGGGCTACCTGGGTGCACCCCATAATTTCCATGGCAGATGTTCAGATTCCATGAAAACCAGAAGGGTTGGTGGGGAGAGAGGAGAGCTGGGACTCTGGGCGGGCCGAAAGCAGAGATGCATGGGAAAGGGGAACCGAGGCAGTGGAGAGCCAGTGTCCAGCTTGCCATACAGGTGCTGAGTGGAAGCTGTGTCTGTCTTGTCTTACACCCCCACCAGGCCACCTGCAAGGCAGTAGGAGGCGGTCAACGAGTCTGTATATGTCCCCCTCATTTTGGGGGTGATGGCTTCAGTTGCTACGGTGGCATCATCCGGGTAAGTAATGGTAGCTTGTCCTTTCTTCCCTGGGCTTGGGCAGGAGTCCTGTGTGCCTCAGGTGGAAGGAGGGTACTGCTCAGGGTCACTGGAAGGAAGGGACTTTCTTGGTGCATGACCTCAGCTCTTTCCCTCCCCTGTAGGAACTGGAGGCAAATGCCCACTTCTCCACCTTCTACCAGTGGTTCAAGGTAGGACAGGGGCTGGGGGCTCAAACTGAGCAGGCCTTTCTGGAAAGGGGGCTGTCATCCAACGGTGCCAGAAGCTGGAGGCTGGCTTCTCACTCTGCTCCTCATGGTGTATGCAGGATGCTGGTATCACCCTTCCTGCTAACAGTACAGTCACAGTCCTGGTGCCTTCTGAGTCCGCCATCCGCAGGCTGAGCCCCGAGAACAAGGCTTTCTGGCTGCAGCCGAAGATGCTGCCATACCTGGTCAGGTGGGAGGGGCCAGGCCATGGGAGGGGACTGTGGGAGGGGGCTCCTGTGGGACCCAGGCATGCCCCAATGGGATAGTGGAGAATTAGGTCCTCTCCTGGCATGTGCCCAGCTGCTGGAGGAGTGCCCAGTCTGAAGGGTCTCTGTATGTTATAGTTACCTGATTCTGTCCCCCCTAAACTGTTGTCCCTCAGGGCCCATTTTCTCCAGGGCACCCTCTCTGAGGAGGACCTGGCCCGACGAGGTGGGCAGGATGTGGCCACGCTGAACCCCACTGTGAACTGGAAGATTCGCAACATCACGGGGGTATGAGGTGAACTCTGGGCAGAAGAGGGGACCAGAGAGGGCATGGGAGGGAGCACAAGTGGTTGCTGACTCCCCCTTACCAGGGTTCCCAGAGGATGAGGTTGGGGTCCTCTCACCCTGCCCAGTTGAGTTTGGGACACAGAGCTGATGACAGTGTCTTCGGGCCAGCAGTGATTGCCTCCAGGGACTGTGCACTCACATATAGCTGTCCTTCTCATGGACCCATGCAAGGGTCTGCGTACCACTTGGCAGGGCCTGAGTGTGAGCGCTACAAGCCAGTGTGGGCCTTTCTCAAACATGTCTGTGCCCTCTGCCCTGCCTGCTGCCTTCCAGAGGGTCTGGGTGCAGAATGCCAGCGTGGATGTGGCTGACCTCCTTGCCATCAATGGTGTCCTACATGTCATCAACCAGGTATGGCAGGACAAGGGCATGTGCATGAAACTGAGCAGGCCAACAGGCAGTGACAGCCCCTTGTGTCCACATCCACACCAGGTCTTGCTGCCTCCACGAGGGGCTGTGAAGGTTGGGCTGGGGGTGCTGCAGCAGCTGGATCAGGTGCCTACCTTCCGCCTCTTCAGGGAGCTGCTTCAGGTAAAGCAGCACAGCAACATCAGATGCCTGCTCGGTGGCGCCCTGTCCAGTCCAGATAAGGCTGGCTGGTAGCCAGTGTCAGGGCTGAGATATGGATGCCCATTCCTGACTCCTGTCCCTAGCACCACAGCCTGGTGTCCCAGATCGAGGCTGCCACCGCCTATACCATCTTCGTGCCCACAAACCAATCTCTGGAGGCCCAGGGCAACAGCAGCAGGCTGGTGAGTCCATGTTCCCCAGGTGGAGGAGCCTCCTGTCCCAAAGTGAAAAGGGGATCTGGCAAGCACTGTGGTGTCCCAAGAACACTTGGGAGCCCTGGATCCCCCTGAGCTGAGCCCCACCCCCCAGGATGCAGACACGGTGCGACACCACGTGATCCTGGGGGAGGCGCTGTCCGTGGAAGCCCTACAGAGGGGGGGACACCGCAACTCTATGCTGGGTCCTGTGCACTGGCTTGTTTTCTACAACCACAGTGGCCAGGTTTGAGGGGCCGGGAGGTTGGAGCCCTTTCCCCAGGGACTCTGCTCTGGAAGCCCTTTTCTTTAGGAGCTCTATCCTGTGCTCCTGGGAGACCCGCCCCCCCACCCTTGGAGCTGTCCCATGTCCCACAGTATGTCCTGGCTTTCAGCTCCTTAAATGATGGGGGTTGGGGTTGTGGGTGCATTCAAGTTCTGGCCTTGCTTCCCAGCCTGAGGTGAACCACATGCCGCTGGAAGGTCCCCTGCTGGAGGGTCCTGGCTACTCACTGTTTGGCCTGTCTGGGGTCCTGACTGTGGGTTCAAGCCGCTGCCTGCACAGCCACGCGGAGGCCCTGAGGGTGAGAGGCTGGGATCTGAGAGGAGGGGTGGCTGCTCGTTGACCTAGCTGCAGAGAGAAGCCCTGTCAGCCACCCTGAAGGAAGGCCAGTGAGTTTTGGGAGCCCTAACCTGGACTGCCTGATGCTGTTCTTCCTCCCCCCAGGAAAAATGCATAAACTGCACCCGGAAATTCCGCTGCACTCAGGGCTTCCAGCTGCAGGTGAGGCTGGGCTTAGCACAGCTGTTCTTCTGTGCTTGCTTCGCTGCCCCCGGCTATCATGTAGCCCCCCCCATCCTAGGCCCAGCCTTGCCCCAGGCTTGGGGAACTGGCTTGGCTGGGCAGCCCCCCGCCCCCAGGAGGCCCAAGACCAGGGCTCTGGGGGAGAAACTTCACTCAGTCCTGAGGCCAAGGCAGGGTCCTGCCGCCCACCCCAACACCTCTGTGCTGGGCTCCTGCGACCCTGGTGTGGGCTTCCATCTGCCTGTCTCATCAGCTTAGACACGTGCCATCCATTTGCCTGGTCTGTCTCCTCATTCACTCGCTGTCCCTTCCCAGCCCACTGGCTGATGCCCCCACTGTCCCCTTCCAGGCCACGCCCAGGAAGAGCTGTGTTTACAGGTCAGGCCTTTCCTTCTCCCGGGGCTGTTCCTACACTTGCGTCAAGAAGATCCAGGTTTGCCCTGAATCCCCTCCCTCACAGTCTGGCAGGGAGAGGGTGGTGCAGAAGCAGAGGAGCCCCGGCTGGCTGTGAAGGGCAGCGGCCAGGCTAGGTCTGTAGGGAGGCCAGGAAGCAAGGACCGTCTGAGGAAGGGAAGGGAAGAGAGGTCCAGCGTCAGGACCCATGTTGGTCCTTCTGTCTGTGCTCCGGAGAGTAGGGATGGGGACAGACAGAAAGGGACTCAGCCCAGGTTGAGCATTTCTCCTTGTGTAGGGTCTGGGCACCACCCACCCAGGCTTGAGCCTGTTTCTCCGCTCTGTCAGGGGAGGCTGATAAAAGGCACTCAGCTACTTTCAGCTCGCATCTACTGACCCTGGGTTTATGGCTCCGAGACGCCCCCACCTTTTCTTCCCTGTCATCCATCCTGCCCTGTGTGGCCCTTTTTCTTCCCTCTCGGATTCCCTGGCCTTCTGCAGGTGCCCGACTGCTGTCCTGGGTATTTTGGCATACTGTGTGAGCCATGCCCTGGAGGCCTGGGAGGTGTGTGCTCAGGCCACGGGCAGTGCCAGGACAGGCTCCTGGGCAACGGGGAGTGCCGCTGCCAAGAGGGCTTCCACGGAGCAGCCTGTGAGATGTGTGAGCTGGGCCGCTATGGACCCAACTGCACGGGAGGTGAGGGCTGGGAACGCCAGGGTGGGCCCTTGGGGGGCAGGACGCTGGCACCACGTAATCTCTGCGCTCCCTGTCCCCTTCCAGTATGCGACTGTGCCCACGGACTCTGCCAGGAGGGGCTGCGAGGGGATGGAAGCTGTGTCTGCAATGTGGGGTGGCAGGGTCTCCGCTGTGACCAGAGTGAGTGGGACGCAGGGGCATGGGGTGAATGACGGAGGTAGTTCCTGGGTCTGAATGACGAAAGCTTTCTCCTGTCCCCAGACATCACTGGCCCTCAGTGTGAGAAGAAATGCAACCCCAATGCCAAGTGAGACAAACCTGGGGGAGGGGGCAGGTAATGGGAGGGCTGGGGGACAGGGCAGGGGCTGGCTCATGCTGGCTGACTGTGCCATCCCTCCCAGCTGCATACAGAGCTCGGCTGGAGTCCCCGTCTGTGTCTGCGCCGCAGGATACTCTGGCAATGGCAGCTACTGCTCAGGTCTAGCCCCCGGGTGCCCAGGCCCTTTTCTGAAAGGTTGGGGGTGGCCATCCTCCACTGCTGTCCAAAATGGGTCCCACCCCTCCTCCACCTTTCACCATTTCTCATGGCCTCCTCTCATGGGCCTATTCCTCACTACTCGGGAATGATCTGCCCCTAGAGGTGGACCCCTGTGCCCATGGCCATGGGGGCTGCTCCCCCCATGCCAACTGCACCAAGGTGGCACCGGGGCAACGGACATGCACCTGCCAGGATGGCTACACAGGCGATGGGGAACTGTGCCAAGGTGAGGTTGGGCCCTCCAACCCAGGCGATTGTAGGGTGGGTGAGGAGACTGGTTTCAGTGAAGTGAAGCAGACCAGGAAGGGCTGGAAAGCAGCCAAGGCGTAGAGGTTGGAGTTCCAGAAAGGGGAGGGAATGAGTACCCCGTGGCACAGCTGGACAGAGGAATGCAGGAGCCACTGAGGGCCACCCTTCATCCCTGGCTCTCTTCCAGAGATTAACAGCTGTCTCATCCACAACGGGGGCTGCCATGTGCATGCCGAATGCATCCCCACAGGCCCCAGGCAGGTCAGCACAGCAGAGTTGGGCCCACAGACCAGGCAGGGTGGGGGAGGTGTGGCTCTTTGATCCAGGGCCCTGGCCAGCCCCTGGCTCCCAGTGGCCCCACTGATTGGAATTTGGGACAGGTGTCTTGCAGCTGCCACGAGGGTTACAGTGGAGATGGCATGCGGTCCTGTGAGCTTCTGGACCCCTGCTCCAAGGTCAGGACACCCCCCCACACACACACTCTAGCAGGGAGAAGGGACTGCAGCAGGACACAGCCCTCCTTATCCCAGGCAGACCCCGAGGGCCTGTGTGGGCTGGGCCACCTTCTCCACAAGCTCCAGTTTGGTTCTTGGTATAGAAATAGAGCTTTGTGTATTGGGCAGAAATGTCACAGCCTCCCAGCAGGGCTGGGTGTGACAGAAGAGTCTTGGAAGCCACCGACACCTCCTTTCTGTCCCCGCCTCAGAACAATGGAGGCTGCAGCCCTTATGCTGCATGCAAAAGCACAGGGGATGGCCAGAGAACGTGCACCTGTGACACAACCCATACTGTGGGAGATGGCTTCACCTGCCGCACTCGTGTTGGCTTGGTAAAGATGCCCAAGGCTGCCCCTGACCTGATCTTGGCTCTGCCCCATGTGGCTGAACTGGAATTTGATCTTGGTCCTGGTCTTGACCATGACCCTGAACCTGACTGTCCCATGACCCTTTCTGGGCCTGACCTCAGCCACGACGCGTGATGGAATCCTGAGCCTAGCTCAGGCTCCCTGGCTTTCCTTTCCACATCTCTGACTTGGCCAGACCTTGCAGCGCAGGTGTAGGACGAGAACTGGGCCTTGAATGGGGGCCACCCCAAATCTGAGCTGACCCTTGCTCCCCCAGGAGCTCCTCCGGGACAGCCACGCCTTGTTCTTCAGCCTCCACCTGCTGGTGAGTAAGCGGGTTGGGCCCACCTGTCTCTCTCCACGTCCCCATCTGGTTAGGGATCTGCTTAGAGTTCAAGTCTTTCCCGCATGACCTATGGAGCCTCGAATTGTTTCTCGCTTCTCCAGGAATACAGGGAGCTCAAGGGCGATGGGCCCTTCACAATCTTCGTGCCTCATGCAGATCTGATGACCAACCTGTCGCAAGTATGCTGCCCCTAGAGGAAGACAGAGGACCCGCTCTCGGGTAGTGTGGGCCGAGCTGGCAGTCAGAGGCCCGTTATCCTCATGGTGCCACTTTAGGATGAGCTGGCTCGGATTCGGGCTAATCGCCAGCTGGTGTTTCGCTATCACGTGGTCGGCTGCCGGGCGCTGCGGAGCCAGGATCTGCTGTACCAGGGCTACGCCACCGCGCTGTCAGGGCACTCGCTGCGGTTCAGCGAGAGGGAGGTGAGCGGGGCTCGGCGCAACTCCCCCCCCCCCCCCCAGTTAATCCTGTGAGCTCCTAGCCCCATCCTAGTCCAGAGCCTCAAGTTTAGGACCCAATCCAGGGGGCGTAATGAGGTCCATGAGCCCCGCCCCTGCCTTGGCTCCGCCCAGCCCCTCCCCAGGTCCTGAACCCGTCAGCGCAGGTCTGGCTTGCTCCTCCCGCCGCACCCCAGGACACACCCACAGATCAGCTCCTCCCGCCGTTGCCTTCCTTTATCTCCCGTGCCCCCGCCCCCAGGGCAACATTTACATCAACGACTTCGCCCGGGTGGTGAGCAGCGACCACGAAGCGGTGAACGGCGTCCTGCACTTCGTCGACCGCGTCCTGCTGCCGCCAGATGTACTGCACTGGGAGCCTGAAGCCACTGCCACGCCCCGGGTACGACTGCACAAAGGCCCAGGCCAGTGGGGGCTTGCGACAGGGGCCTGGGCTCCTCCTTCCCGCCTGATGTAGCCGCTCACTAGTGTCTTTCCCTAGAGAAATGTCACCAACGCCGCCGAGGGATTTGGTTACAAGATCTTCAGCCGTCTAGTGAAGGTATGTCCCCACGCGGCCCGCGAGGTGCGCTCACCTCCCGTGTGAAGGGGCGTGTCCGCGCGAGCACTTGCACCAGACCACATCTGTGTGTGAGGCTGCTCTCGAGGGTGCAGTGGCAACGTGTGTGCCCGTGTCCCGCCCGGCAAGTGGGCTCCAGTCCCCTCGTCCTCCTCGGCTGTGGTTCCACTTTCTGCAATGTCAGCTCCCTGGGGTCAACTTCAGTCTGAAAATATTCAGTGGAAAATACCACAAATAAACAACTCCCCACTTTTCCCCATTGCCCGTTAAATAATTTCTAATGTTAGGTATTCTAATTTATTATTGCTGTTAATCTCTTACTAGGCAAAGCAGGCTGTGTGAGGTTCAGTACTGTTTAGTTTCCTGCGTCCAGGGCAGGGTCCCCTGAGAGGGAGGGGTGCGGCTAACATGCAGGCCCACTTCTGCTCCAACCTACCACCAGCTGGCCGGCCTCCTGCCCATGCTCCGAGATGCGGTCCATAGGCCCCTCACAATGCTGTGGCCCACCGACTCTGCACTGCAGGCCCTGTCCCTTGATCGGCAGGCCTGGCTGTACCATGAGGACCACCGGGACAAGCTGGCAGCCATTCTCCGTGGCCATGTGATTCGCAATATGGAGGTGGGCACACCTTAGCCCTTGCTTGGTCCTCCCTCCCCACAGCTGCTTAGCCTTCCTGCCGGCTCCAGCTGCACCCCCCCCCATTTGTTCAGGTCTTGGCATCTGACCTGCCCAACCTGGGGCCACTCCGAACCATGCATGGGACCCCCATCTCCTTCTCCTGCAGCCGGGATAGGCCTGTGAGTGTGGGGGCAAGACTTGGATGAGGAAGTGGGAAGTGTGGGAGGGCGGCAGTGCCTGCTCCTCCCTGTGCTCTGTGTCGGCCCCACTGCAGGGCGAGCTCGTGGTGGGTGAAAATGAGGCACGAATTGTACAACGGTACCTGGCCTTTGAGGGTGGCCTGGCCTACGGCATTGACCAGCTGCTGGAGCCACCTGGCCTGGGTGCTCGCTGTGATCGCTTTGAGACCCGGCCACTGCAACTGGTGAGGGAGACCACAGGCCAGAGGCGGATGAGCTGGGGTCCAAGCCCTGCTGTCCTGTCCACACCCGCCTGACCCTGTGGTGTTGGCCTGTACCCCTTCCAGAAGATCTGCAGCCTCTGTGGGCTGGAGCCACCCTGCCCTGCAGGCTCACGGGAGGAGGTAAGCACCTGGAGCTGAGTTAAGGGGAAGCAGGGGCCAAGGCTCATGGAGCCCAGGTGGCTGTGAGCTGATTTCTCTGGACCCAGGGCAGCCCTGAGGCCTGTTGGCGCTACCCAAAGTTGTGGATAAACGCTCCACTGCGCCCCATGTTCGGCAGTATTTGGGGACGGCCTAGCTACTGGGGCCAGCCTCGAAGCCTGGGCAGTGGCTGCCAGCGCTCCTGCGTCACTTCTGTTTGGAAGCCTAACTGCTGTCCTGGTCACTATGGCAGTGAGTGCCGAGGTGAGCCTCCTGAGGTTGGACTCCTGACCCCAGCTCCTCCAGCCCCCAATCTAGCAAGGGCAGAGCTCTGGTCAGTGCTCCTTGGAAAGGTTATTGGGGTCCTGTGGGGCAGGGGGGGCAGATTTTACTGGAAGGCATGTTCAAAGGGTGATGGGTGAGCGTGTAGAGGGTGCAACAACTGCTGAAGGGCTGGACCATCTGGGTGTCTCAGGGCCTGGCCAGGGAGGGCAGGGGTGAGATGGGCGTCCTCAGCAGTGTGGGAACATGGCGGATATATGTACTCCTTGAAACGGCTGAGCTGCCCCTGGTTGGGGACAGCTGCCAGGACTGGGCTGCATGTTTAGGTGTTCCAGTGGCAGCCCTTCACAACCTCATTTCTCAAATCCCCACCCTCAGCTTGCCCTGGTGGCCCCAGCAGCCCCTGTAGTAACCACGGCATGTGCCTGGATGGCATGAGTGGCAGTGGACAGTGTAGATGTCACGTGGGTTTTGCTGGGACAGCCTGTGAACTCTGCGCCCCAGGTGCCTTTGGACCCCAGTGTCAAGGTAGGCCATCGCTGCCTTGTCCCATTTGCCCCAATTCCCTTGGCCTGTGTTCCCACTTTTATCTTCCCACCTGTCCCTCTCCCCAGTCTGCCACTGCAGCCCCCACAGCCGCTGTGATGAGGGCCTTGGGGGCTCTGGCTTCTGCTTCTGTGATGAAGGCTGGACTGGGCCACACTGTGAGGTGCAGCTGGGTGAGTATCCATGGAGTTTGTGCGTAAGCCACACACTTAGACACACTTGCACACGGCTGGTTGCCACAACTGCACACGCAGGTGGAGGCCCTGAGGTGGCTGGGCTGGGTGGACACCAGCAGGGCAGCTACTGACCTGGTCGTATGGGGACGGGTCCTGGGGGCAGAATTGCAGCCTGTATGTACCCCACCCTGTGCACCCCAGGCCATGTGCCGTGTGGGTAACAGCTGCGAGTGTAGCCTGGGCTACGAAGGTGATGGCCGTGTGTGCACAGGTAAGCAGGTGACTATATGGGTGGGAGCAGCCCCAGTGCCCTTCAGCCACCTGCTCTGACCACTTCTGTGTCCCCAGTGGCAGACCTGTGCCAGAATGGGCATGGCGGCTGTAGTGAGCATGCCAGCTGCAGCCAGGTAGGCACAGCGGTCAACTGTACCTGCCTGGCCGACTATGAGGGTGACGGCTGGAGCTGCCGGGCCCGCAACCCCTGTGCAGACAGCCACCGGGGGGGTTGCAGCGAGCATGCCGACTGCCTGTACACCGGCCCGGTGAGCGGGGTGGAGGAGTGGACAGCCAAGGCGGGGAGGTCCCTCAGGCTCACTGCCATTGTGTCTGAAGGGCACACTCCTCCTGCTTCTAGAACACCCGGCGCTGTCAGTGCCATGAGGGCTACGTGGGCGATGGACTACAGTGTCTGGAAGCAGCGGAGCCCCCCGTGGACCGCTGTCTGGCCTGGCCGTCCCCCTGCCATTTGGCTGCTGAGTGCACGGACCTGCATTTCCAGGGTGCGCTCCCCTGCCTGCTGCTGGTGCGGTGCTGTCGCTCTCTGCATTCCAGCCAGCTGACCAGGCCTCCCTTTTCTCCTCTAGAATGGTGCGCTGGCGTCTTCCACCTCCAGGCCCCCAGTGGCCCCTATGGCCTGAACTTCTCCGAGGCTGAGGCAGCATGTGAGGCCCAGGGGGCTGTCCTCGCCTCATTCTCTCAGCTCTCGGCTGCCCAGCAGGTGTGTGAGCTCTGGAGTCAGAGCTGAGACTCGGGGGCTTCCGAGCTGGGCCGCGGGTCTCAGCACCCCTCCTGCTCTTGCAGCTGGGCTTCCACCTCTGCCTCACGGGCTGGCTGGCCAACGGCTCTGCTGCCTATCCTGCTGCGTTCCCTGCAGCAGACTGTGGCAACGGTCGGATAGGTGTGATCAGCCTCGGCATCCGGAAGAACCTCTCGGAGCGCTGGGACGCCTACTGCTACCGTGTGCTGGGTGCGCCCCTCCTACCAAGCCCGTGTCCTGCTTTCCCTGTCCTGCCAACCCACTGAGTCCCTGGCCTGCGTTTCCTGCAGATGTGGCTTGCCGATGTCGGGATGGCTTTGTGGGTGACGGGATCAGCACGTGTAATGGGAAGCTGCTTGACGTCCTGGCTACCACTGCCAACTTCTCCATCTTTTATGGGGTGTGTGGGGGCCTCAGCGGTGAGGTGTGGGTGCCTGGGGTGCCCAGGGAAGGAGCCTGCCCACAGCCCTGTCTTCTCACCCTCCCAGATGCTGCTGGACTATGCCAATGCCACCAAGCGAGGCCTGGACTTCCTGGATTTCCTGAATGATGAGCTCACCTACAAGACACTCTTTGTCCCTGTCAATGAGGCCTTTGTGGGCAACATGGTAAGAGCAGGGGGCTGGGCACAGCAGGCCCCCAGGTGACTCCCTCGGGCCAGCCCAACCTAATAGGCCTTCTTCCACCTAGACGCTGAGCGGCCGAGACCTTGAGCTACATGCATCCAATACCACCTTCCTGAGCACAAATGCCAGCCGGGGCACCCTGCTTCCTGCCCACTCGGGTCTCAGCCTTGTCATCAGTGATGTGGGCCCTGACAATGGCTCTTGGGTTCCTGTGGTGAGGCTGGCCACCGCCCCTCCCTGCTGGTTTTGGTTCTTGCCGGGAGGATCTGACTCCTATCTCCCTGCAGGCTCCAGGGACAGTGGTGGTTAGGCATGTCATCATGTGGGACATCATTGCTTTCAATGGCATCATCCACACTCTGGCCAGCCCCCTCTTGACACCCCCACAGGCTGTGAGTCTGGTGAAGGAGAAGGTAGAGCCATCAGGGGCAAGAGACAGCTTTGGCCAGGTCTGTGACACTCCCTGTTTGCAGGAGGCAGTTACGGCACCAGAGAGCCTCCCCATAGCAACAAGTGTGGGGGCCGTGGTAGCCACTGGAGTGCTGCTCAGTCTGGTGGCCGGAGCCCTGTATCTCCGACTGAGAGGAAAGCCCACGGGCTTTGGCTTCTCCATCTTCCAGGTAAGTGGGGAGACACAGGTGGTGGCTGGGGTCAGACAGCGCCTGCCCTTGCAGGTCCTGCTGGGTGCCGGACCTGTCCTTTGATCTTGCACGAAACCTGTCATCCCTCTTAGGCAGAGGATGATGCTGCTGATGACTTCACCCCATGGCAAGAAGGGACCCCAACCCTTGTCTCCGTCCCCAACCCTGTTTTTGGCAGCCATGATGCCTTTTGTGAGCCCTTTGATGTGAGTGTTGGGTGTGGGATGTGGAGAGGCCCTGGGGCCCTGACTCGCCCTGCTGTGACTGGCCTCGCTGTCACAGGACTCGCTCCTGGAGGATGACTTCCCCGACACGCAGAGGATCCTTGCTGTCCAATGAGGGGCTGACGTCACAGCAGAGCCACATGGGAAGCAACCACTTTTATTGCTCATCTGGACAAATGGCTGGTGTGGGTGGGACAGGAGGGAGTGGGGGTCTGTCCTGGACAATAAAGGTACCCTCAGCGGATGTGGGCCATGTCTCCGAGAAAGGGTGTCTTCATGCAGCCGGTGCAGAGCTGGTCCATCCAGAGGGGTGCCTCATGCTGCAGAGGTGTGCGGCGTGGGTAGAAGGTGAAGTCCACGCGGTAGTTGAGCAGGCAGCTGAGGGAGGCCATGTAGAGGTCGGAGAAGCGCACAAGGCGCCTTGAGAAGTAGGTGGGGTTGTGGAAGGTGCGGAAGATGCTCCCGAACTGAGCGTTGAACAGGGCCTTGGTGATGTACCTGGGAAGAGGGAAAGGGCACTCGAGGGAGGACCCGGGGGTGCTGGGACAGCACACCTGCCCTGGCCCCCCGCACACCTCAGCTCCTGTCGCTCCTTCATCCAGGCAGCTAGCACCTGCTGCGACTCTGCGTCCTGATAGGTCTGGAGAGGGGACAAGACAGCGTGTGGCAGTGTGCTCAGGAGGCTGTGGCCCCACTCCCTCGCAGACACCTGTGGCCTGTACCTGCATGCGCTCGAGCAGCCCTGTCAGTGCCTGCTGCCAGGTCAGCGAGTGCATGTACTGCTCTGTGTTGATGATGCGGATCTCGCGCTCCAGCTCAGGGATGATGGCGCCTGTGCGCCAGCCGTGCCGCAGCATGAGATCCTGGGGGGTGGGGGGGGGGAGACTGGCATCAGTGACAGCCGGGTAGCTCCCTCCCCTCCGCCCCAGGGGCCCAGTCAGTCCCCCTCACCGCTAGGTCACTGTAGAGGTGGTCTCCGAAGTAGAGTACTCGGGGACCACGCCACTCTGTTAGCCGCAGGAAGTCAAACAGGTTTCCCTTGGGAATGGAGAGATAGCCGAGTCAGCTGTGCTCCCACGGGACACCAGCGCCTGCCCTTGCAGGTCCTGCTGGGTGCCGGCTGCCCTTTCCCGTGGCCTGGCTGTGCTGCAGTCCTCGCCATTCACCCTCCCACTTGAGAAGCGGCTGACTGCCTGCTGCAGGGTGGGCTCCCATAGGCCTGGCACAGTGCCCCATCCTCAAAGGCCTCGCCCCTGCTCCAGGCTAGACATTTAGACCCTGTTTATGAGAAATGAACCGTAGGGCAGACCCCACGCTCTAAAGCAAAAAGCCCTGAAATCCTCATTGGCGGCCTCGGTCCAGAGGGATCCAGACCATTGGCAGAGCTCACTAGCCAGCCTGTCAGCTTTTCCTGCTCCAAAGCCAGAGAAACAAACACTCAGCCAGGCCCACATATAACCAGAAAGGTCGCGGGGCAGAGTGGTGGTGGAGGGGCCAGAGCCAAAGGTACAGCAGCCCCTGAGACCCAGGAGCAAGAAAGTACTCAGCGAAGCACAATTCAGAGATGTCTGGCCCTGTGGGCCTTGGAGCGATGCACACAGCTAGGAGAGAGGCTGTGGAAGAGCTTGGAGTGAGGGCCAGGCAGGCCTGCTAAGGCTGTGACCCCCGGACCACAGGGCAGGAGATGGAGAGGGCCAAGAATGACAGGGATGTAGGGCGAGGCTGCTGAGAACTAGGCAAGGTCTAGCACACACAGTGCAAAGAAACTTCTAGAATGTCAGACTAGGAAACGCCTGGCAGCCACAGAAAAGTTCACATTCCCACAAAGGTGCCTGCTTTCCTCTACCATGGTGGATGCTAAGAAAGGGAAAAGGTATCCAGAGCTGAGGGGACCAGCATATGCCAAGGGGCTATGGGCAGCTAGGTTGCAGCAAAGCAGGATCCTGGGGGGTGGGACAGGACCTCCATGTGGTGCTCTTGGCTACATGCCGGCTTCCCCCAGCACCAGGACCTCTGGAATCTCTACCCCAAGACACCCGGCTCAGCCAGGATTTCCACATTCCAGTCAAGGCCAAATGCCTTAATCAGCTCTGTTCATGGCCACCCAGTGGTTTGGCTCTGTCCCTTTTATCTTCCTAGCTAGGCAGAAAGGATCTCCACAGGGTTTGCAGGAACTTCCCCACTGGCCTGGCTCAAGACCCCCCCAACTGGGTGTCCCCACAGCAGTGCCCAGCCCCAGCGAACTACAGTGCCACCCACTGGGTACTCAGAGGGCCCAGGTCATTCTAAGGGTACAACTCAAGGTGAGCACTGGACTGCTTCTGAGAGTGGGCAACTAGGTGCCACGCTGGCCCGGGCAGTGGTGCTTCCTCAGAGGCTGCGGTGCCACAACCCACCCTGCCAGGTGCTACCTTCCCAGACAGCCCTCACCTGCCGATAGATCTTGCCCTTTTCCAGGCGGGTAATCCGGTCCCAGTGGAGTGAGCCCTTCTCATCAAGCTTTCGGAAAGGCCTGGGGTGAGAGTCAAGGGCTTGGTCTCCAGTGCGTGCCCACTAGCGAGGCCATGTTCTGACCCCAAACAGAGTGATGAGCAAAGGCCAGTCTGGCCCCGCACCTCAGGTACCCTCACTAGAGTTGGGGTCTCCACTTCCTCCACCCCACTGCCCACTCCCAGGACCATACTTGCGCCGGTCAGTGAAAAAGCTGGGTTTGTCTGCCTGGACAATAACCACATCAAAGAGTTGGCGCCAGTCGGGACCCACCATGTGCCGCATGCCCTTGTCCCTGTGAAGATGCGACCTGGGCTGCAGAAGTCTCGCCACAGGATCTGGGCGCAGCCCTGCCCCTCCCTTCACAGTGGGGCTGGACTCACACAAAGCTGAAAGGACTGTTAGTGATAAGGAACAGCTGCTTCCCATGGTCGACCAGGCGGCTCAGAACTGCGAATGTCTCGTCCCCTCTCAGGATGTACTTCTCTAAAGGAGAACATGGTCTCTAAGGGTCAGGCCCCCTCCTGCTCAAGTAGGCCATGGAAGGGCTTCTGCCCACCCTTACCCATGTCTCGCTCAATCCACTGGTACATGAGGCCCTTCACGTGCACATCTCGAATAGCATCCTGGGAGACAGGAGGACATAAGGGCATAGCAGGGTCCAAGAGGGGCCTGTGTTGTTGGGGCCGGACTCTGCCTCCTGGCAGCTAAGAGGCAGTCTCAGAATCCCTACCGTCACATCCTTGTAGAGGTGTGCTTGGTCAAACTCCAAGCCGTGGCCCAGGAAGTGGTCCACCACGCAGGACAGCAATGCCATCTCGGGCAGTGAGAAGATGTCCATGAACTGCTTGATGGAGGGGCCCTAAGGAGAGCGCAGTGTCTGTCTCAGCCATGCCTCTGACCCCCCCCCAGCATGGGGGACCAAGGAAACGCCCAAGTCTGCCTTGGGACACTGCCAGCATCCACAGTGAGGGGCACCAGGGTGTGGCCTCTGGGGAGCAGGGTGAGGGGTACCTTGCCATAGAAACCGCTCATCTGGTACAATGGGATATGCTGGGTGCCTCCGTACAGGTCGATCACCTCCTCATCAGGCACGGGCTGGAGACCCCTAAATGGGGGCAGAAACTCCATGACTCCAAGCCCAGGGAGTTGGTGGCTGGGGTAGGACCGAGGCCGAGTCAGTACTGACCTGTAGGCTGTCCCCAGCTGCACATAATGGAAAGCGTCGATCTTCATCAGCAAGCTCTGGGGCACCCGGAGGCAAGCGGGCAGTGAGGAGGTTGTTTTTGCCACCGAAGCAGAGGCCTCTCCACCTCACTCCACTCCAAAGCCCTAAAGAGCGGCCCTGAGCCAGCCTCTTCTAGCCCCTGTGCCTAGCCTCTGCTGGCAGGTGCCCCGGGGATTAGGTACAAAGAAGAGGAAGCAACAGCGTCCTGTCGATGAGACCCTCCCTTAGGGGAGAGCGAGGCAGGGGGCCATATCTAGCCACTCACCTTCTGAATGTCATAGTGGAGGCCACGGATGGCAAAGCTGGGATTGTAGTCATATTTGCGAATTCCCTCTGGGTACTATTGAGCAAAAAGGACCAGGCCTGAGCCAGTGGCACTGCCAGCCCCCAGGGCACCAGGGGAGTCCCATGACTCAGCCTGGGGCTTAGGTCAAGCTGGGCCCCACTGGCTCCTGGGGCTCCTCTCACCTTGTAGTGTTCAACCAGGATGTCCCGGGCGGCATTGAAGATCTCAGGGTGCAGCGCATCTGCGTACTGGGCCAGCGTGTAGTCATAGTCAAAGCCATAGATCTCGACGTCACGCAGGCTGATCTCATTGTTGGCGTAGATGGCTGCTGGGTTGAGGAGACTGCAGACCTCGGGAGGCAGGAGATCTAGAGGGAGGTGCAGCACGAGGGGGATGATGCTCACAACAGGGGCTGTCCTGGGCACCGTGGGGGGTGCCTATCCCAGCAAGCCTCACAAACACCCCATGATGGTGATGCTTGGCCTGATGCTGTTAAAACTGAGGCTCAGAGGGAAGGCACCTGCCTTCCTTCTCCTCCTGCGGCCCATGAATAGCAAAGCAGGCTCTCACCAAGCCCCATCAGAAACATGGCTGCGGTGGACCCTGGTGATAGCCATTCAACTCCTCAAACAACTCTTAGGACAGCTGGCAGTACAAATCCTGTCTCTTCCTCAGCACCTGGGCAGGAGCACCACCATTGGTCCCCCTTGTAGCTGCCCACTGGACATATCTACCACCTCCTTTAAGGGAAGCGGATCCCTATGAGTCTGATCTGTGTAGCGAGACCCTGTACTAAAATACATTAAAAAAAAAAATAGCTAGTAGGGATCAAGGACTCTGGGAGGGGGGCTGAGCCAATGCATGCAGTTTCTACCTTACAGAGCCAGGGTTAGGGCTCAGGAACACAAGTGAGATGGGAACCCCCCGTGCTGCTCACGTTGCCAACTCTGAACACCTGCCACAGCCCAGGGAATGAGGTTCTCTAATCGGATTTCAGCAGCCTGCCAGCCCACATAATGACATTTCCTGGCTTTAGCCAGGGAACATTGCTAATTACGACAGTCGGGACGTGTGATGCTAGGTGCTGGGCTGCTACCTGAGCTGCTCCCTGTGTGTGTGGGATGTGGTCAGGGCCATGGAGGGCCCTGGCTGCTCCCAGGGAGCTGGGCAGGCCACTGTCCTGAGTGAGCTCTGGGGTCACAAGCCCTCTTGCTTCCCCAGCTGCACAATGCGGGAGGTG